TTTGGAAGTTTAGTAATACAGTTTGTTAGTTTACATTGATGGCAAGAAACATTAAAGTTTGAATCTTGTGAACATTTACAAACAACAAGGCATAAGGAGAATTTACATTGGCAGTTACAGGGCCTCCCAAGAGTTTCTTGTTTTGGTCTGCTGAAAACCAGAATCAGACTAAAGTCCCATAGCCAGTCCTCTTTTTCATTCTTTCTGATTTTGTTGAGAATTGTCCTCATTAACAGAACAATTAAATCCAGGCCATTGTATAAGAAGTTTCTCTGCATGACATCTTCTCCTAGGAGCAGAATGAAACAAAGGTGGGTCAGGAGCTTAAGTCCAATGCAGCTTTCTGTTCTCAGTCAGTACAGAATTCTCGATTGTCTACAGGGGGAACATCCTCTTTCCAGGAAACAATTCCTGCAAAGGGCACCAGCCTTTCTGGGATCCACCTGGCTCCTTCTGCATCCTGTGGAAAAACACAAACATACCCTCTTCTCCATATTAATATGGGGTCAGGGCCCTGCCATATTCCAGTAATCGGATCTTTCCATTTTACTTGGGCATAATTATCTTTGATATTAGGATGCCACAATCGATCACCTGCAGAACAACCTTGAATATCCACATTCAAAAAATTTTAAATACAGAGAACATGATTAAGATTTGGAGCTATGACTCCCCCTTTTTTATTTTTTGCAATTGGTTCTTAAGAGATCCATGGGCGGGCTCCATAATTTTTTGGTCTTAAGGATTATATGGCATGCCTGTTTTATGACTTATAAAAATGTTGAAAAGCTTGACCAATATATGTAGTGCATAAGTCTTTATAATGGAAGGAATACCAATTGTAGCAAAACATTAGTTTTTAAAATTTTGGGATATGAGTAACGTCCATTTGTTGTTTAGAATGGTTCCAACCCTAGGTTTTAAGTAAGTTAACTTTATGTTACAGTTTTTAAACATAATGACCAATAATCATGGTAAACTTGTACATTGAAAACAGACAGACAAAACATCTTGGTATTTGTTGAATCTGATTTTTATGACCATAGAAGCTTTGTAGAAGAATTAGCCATTAGCTTTTGTACTGGAAAAACTGAGAAGCTGCCTCTTTAATAGTCTTTTCTTGTAGGGTGGCAGCCATTGCTACTCCCTGATGTAGAACAGGGAGTAGATGTAGAAGACAGCCAGATGTCAGAACATAACCTAATATAATCAGAAGTAGCTGCTTTCTTCCTAAAGGGTCTCAAAGCTGCTTGGCAGGCACTGTTAGTTTTCTCATAAGCCAATTGTTTTACTAATAATAATCTAGAATTTTCATTGCTTATAAATCGGTTTGCTGCTTGCATTAATCTTGTCCTAACACATTTTAGACAAATCCTCCACCTGCCTACCTGTTTATAGAAGTTTATTCCAGGCCCTTCGGGCACCAGCATTCACTTGAGCATAAACTGCCACATCAAAATCCAATTTCCCTGTAGATTCCTTCTCCAGCAAGCAAGTCATAAGTTTTAGGAATTCCCTGAGCTCGATTAAGTTCAGCTGTAACTTGACAATGCTCTGCAAATTCTGACTTCCATAATAAATGACCTCCTCCTGAGAAGCATGCTCTTGTTAATTGTTTCCAGTCCCCTGGGCAGAGGGAGGGTCTCAGTAGACAAGGACTCCAACAGAGCCTGAGTAAAAGGCGCTAAAGGACCATATTGAGAGCATGCAGATTTTAATTCTTTTAGTTGTTTAAAAGGTATAGGCATGGATTCTCGCCATCGTACCTTGTCCATCATGCTGCTCTAGCAATGGAAAAGCATAAAACTCAGTTATATCTTCTCCATTTACCTAGCTTCTTGTAAAGAAGCTTGTAAGGACGATACAGTTGCCCATACAGTGGACAAAGGAAAAGGTCCCCTTGTCTTTTGGGCCACTGCTACTGTAGCAGTCCCAGGAGGAAGGACCAAGACTACAACCAATGATGGAGTTGGAGTGGGGTATGGAGGCTCATTTTCCCTAGTAGTTAGTTCTCCAATTTTTCTGTTTATTTCCTCCAAGCCCCATTCCAACTTTTTAATTTCTTTTTGCCAAGGCTTACGCTTTTTAACATGCATAGCCTGAATCGGAGGGTATCTCTCAGAATAATACTGATCTGGTTGTTCCTCCAATTCTGCAACCTCATCAGGATCTAAGTCATCCTCACAGTCTTCTTCTGACAAGAAATTACTATCATCAGGAGGGAAATTTAACTCCTCTGGAGGAGCTGATGGTCTACTCTCATTTTGTCTCAAAGCCTCCTTTCTAACCTCTTTCTCTAAGCATGAAAGTTTAACTTTCTCAATTTCCTGCCGCATATACAGACTATCTTTAATTACATTTCATACAAAAAACACGAGGCTACTGCCTTGTCCCATTTTTATTCTCGGATTTACTCATCGCACCCTTTTTACTTAATGATTCCAGCTTGCCAACACCCACAATGTCCTTCATTGATTCCCCAGTATCTCAAGCCCCATATTGGGCATCAATCTGCTGGAGCCCAGAGACAGAGCCAAACAGTTCTTGAGTTGGGAATGAGGACTAAAATTAATAAACCAACACACAACACATGGGATATTTCCGAGAGGCTCTAGTGGAAACTAGACACCTTGCTTTATTTCAGACTCCTTTTAAGCCAGAGTAAATGCACTTCAGTACAATGAGTTAAATTCACAAGGAACCAAACTTGCTTCTGCAATGTCTAGCAACTTGTGATGTCATCATGTGTAGATGGCCAGGTGGCCACACCTGGAAAGCGTGGTTACCTTGCCCCTTAAAGGGACAACCCAACACGTGGTCCCTCTCTTGGTCCTTTCTCTCTTGGTCCCTCTTGCTCCAGGCCTCTTGGCCTTCTCCTCTTTCTCTATGGGGGGGGCTCTCTCTTTCCTTCTCTCTCTTTCTCCCCATGTCCTGCTCTCCCTGCTCTTCCTTCGCTCTCTCTCTCTCTCCATATCCGCCTAATAAACCTCTTTTATATAGAAGATCTGTTGCATGCCTAATCATCATTATTTAATTTGTCCCATAACCTTACAGGTATCCCACCTGCTGTCTCAAACAAAAGGAGACAGACTTGGAAATTCTTCACTGACTTCAGTGAAGGCCTGGTAAAAGCAGTCTTTCTGCTGAGATTTAAATATCAAAGCAGCTGGTAGAACAGCAGTTCCCAACACACATGTGTTCATAATTTTCTGTGATGGCTCACTAAGTACTTTTTAAGAAAACGTCTAAGGTTAACACCAATGAACCAAAACAATTTTCTCTATATCATCAAGGTTGAGGTATCATTTTTAACACTCAATTGTGGATTTTGTGTGCACAACATGGAACAGCAAGGTAAGTTGAAGCCTACTCATGCAATAGTAGCAAATGTTAGGAAGTAACCAATCATTTTCTGATTGGATTTGATACCTGCTCTACAGAAGGAAATTCATGGGTAATACTGTAAACCTAGTCAAAATGCCCACAGCTGGCAAGGTCACTGGCCTCAGTACAGAAGCTACTGCTACTGTTTTGCTAAATAGCCATGATATGACCATCAAATTGCCTTTGAAATCACTATGCTTGTGCCCACAGATTAGTGCTGCCATCAATTCTCATCAAAGAAGCTTTATTTTCTAGCAGTCTATAATGACTCGTAACTGCTATCAAAGAACTAATAATAAATGAATGTTGGATACTCAGCCATCAACAGGACACCTACATCACTCTATCCAAGGCTCACAGCCTTGTGATTTTCATGAACAACCTTGAGCGTACCAACACCCAATTCTGGAATGAGGAGAGTGCTCAGAGCACCCCACCACTCCCAGACAATTTATATAGTAAATGCTTGAGGGGTGTGGGTATATTTTTTCAGTGGTAATTTCTGAGTTAAAAATACAATTGTAATTCTAAGCATGGCATTTACGAATTCTGTCAATTATTAAGCCTGAGAGAACCTCTGAACACATAGTCATCAGGGCAGAAGTACAGGCAGGCAGTCTTAAAATGTGAGTTCTTTAACTTGCGGGATTTATACTAATCTTAGTAATTAAGTTGAAAATGGAGGATTCTGCCCTCAACTTTCAATGTTCTACACTAACTTCAGTGAGCATCAGTCCTACTGATGAATTCTAGAATACCTAACTGGTGTCAGAAAATCGGTGTTTAAAAATAAAGCATTCTCATTTATAGGACTGCCTGTGAACTGCCATCACAGTGTTGAATAGTTGCAATGAATGCCATGTGGCACACAAGGTATACAAATTCTGTATTTTTAGAGAAAGTTTACTGCTTACAGAGACTAAAGTCTTTCTCCTTTTCCATATACTTTTGTCCTACATGTCTAACCTGCTGCCTATTATATTTACATATTTGGGTATGTATAGTTATAGAATTGTCTATTTCCCCTAGCATATTGTTGCCTAGTGGATTTCAGTGCACAAACCTTTCCCCACCCCCAGTTAAAACCTTAATTCCTTCATGCTGTAGTGCTAGAGATGTGAGGCCCATTGGGAAGATTTTGGCTAACAGAAATGGAGCCCTTAGGAATGTCTTAATGTTTTTCTCTGCTCAAGTGAATTTAGCTCTCATGGAATACATTAATGAGGAATGTTGTACAGGGTTTTCTCTCTTTCATGTTCATCTTCCTGCTTCTCTACTTTGCACAATACAGAAAGCATGCAACCTTCACCAGAAGCCACCCAATCTTGAACCCTTCTGCCTCTACAACTATGAGCCACATATATTTCTATGCTATATAATAACCACCCAACCTCAACTATTCTGTTACAGCAACAAAAGAAAAAAAATAGCCTCATCACTACTTAAGATCACAAGCTGTACAATAAATCTTTAGTACCAACTTATCACCATACTGACAGAAGCTTAATAATATAAACAACGATGCATTTCTTAAACCATGTTTCTATTCCAGTGTTTCTTACCTTTTCACTGGCTACTTTAACAGATTTATGCCATGTTTTAAAATTCTCTCTAATCCTGTGCCTAGAGGTGCTGCAGGTGTGGTCGCTGTGTCACATGTGCAACAGTAGTTGACGGAGAGGCAAGAAGCTATGTCTACACTCAGTGTTCTCACCTATAAACATCTGAATGGCTAGTAACCTAACCTTCTCTGAAAAAGGCGAGCCTGTAATGACCACCACTCCAGCCAGGGGGCCCAGCAGGGAGCTAGCCTGGGATGACTAGCAGTCCAGCACCAGGCAGGCCTGGGTGATCTCCCAGGTCAGGGAGCAGGCCTGGGACTGCTGGCCCTGGGCAAAAGTGAGCCTAAGACAGACAACCCTCACACAGGGCCACTCGGGCAAGCAGGGCAAATAGTGAGCCCTAGAGGACCACCAAAGGGGGGGTGGAGGCAGACAATGCCCGAGATGACTACTGCCCAGAGCCATAAAGTACGAGCAGGGCATAGCGCTCCTGAGACCACTCCTGAGATGATCCCAGGTACTCAGAGTCCCTGAGTGACACTAAGAAGAGCAAGTAAGTAGTGGAGAAATGAAACAGAAAGAGAAACAAACAGAAGGATATGGTCACACTGAAGACAGGCAGAACTGGAGACTCAAGGGTAGTCAGGTAGCCGGTGACACCTCCTTGGATCATGGTGGGGTCCTGGCCTGTACTACCATGTCTGAGTCCTTGGCCCTGCAGCAGCAGGAGTCTGTTACCAAAAGGCCAAGCAGACATCCCTGGTCTGAGTGGCCTCCCCGGGACATGTTTTTTTTTTTTTTTTTTACATTTTTTTTTTATTTTATTTTTCTTTTTAGTTACATTTTGTTAACTCTGTGTCCCAGCTGTATCCCGCTCCCTCATTCCCTCCCCAACCCCACACTCCCTCCCTGGTCTCCTCCCTGCCCCTTTCCAAGTCCCCTGATAGGGGAGGACCTCCTCCCCTTTCATCTGACCCTGTTTTATCAGGTATCTTCAGGGCTGGCTGCAAAGTCCTCCTCTGTGGCCTAACAGACTGCTCCTCCCCAGGGGGGGGGGGGTGTCAAACAACCTGCCCTTGAGATCCTGTTAGAAATAGTCCGTGTTCCCCTTACTTTGGAAAACTACTTGGTTACTGAGCTACCACAGGCCACATCCAAGCAGAAGTTCTAGGTTATATCCATAGATGGTCCTTGGTTGAGTGTCAGTCTCAGAAAAGACCCTGTGCCCAGATATATTTGGTCCTTGTAGAGCTCCTATCCTTTCCATATCATACTAACTTCCCTTCTTTCATATGATTCCCTGCACTCTGCCGAGGGTTTGGTTATGAGTTTTAGTGTCTGCTTTGAAACACTGCTAGGTAGAGTCTTTCAGATGCCTTTTGTGGTAGTCCCCGGGACATGTTGATGTCTGAGGGCTGTGGAGAACTGGTCCTACCCCTCACCTGGGTATCATAAGAGAGCTAGCCCTGCGGTCATTAGAGCTGACTCCTGCCTTAGCCAGCTACACATATATAAGAGCAGGCCCTAACATTTCGGGAGTTCCACATCACAGGAGTTGCAGGTGAGCCTGCCCAGAGAACACAAGCATGGGAGAGCTAGCACTACCACTCTCTCCTGAGCAGTGCCTTAAATGAGGGAGAGACATGCTCTTTCCACCTCACCCCTCACCACCTGCTGCAGGAGTCTGACCAGGCCCTGAGGTCATAAGAGCAGGAAAGTTGCCCTGCCCCTAATCAGCTGCAGCACTTGGGAGAGCAAGGCCTGTAGCTCACCCAGGCAGCAAAGTATAGCTGGCCCTGATTTGGGGCACAGGCAAGCAGGCCCTGAGGGCATACGCATGGGAGAGCTGGACCTGCCTCTAGTCTGCTGGACAGTGACATGGAGTAGAGAAGCCTTCTTCCCTTCCTTCGTCCCTCGCCATGAATGGCAAGGTGGGAGAGTGGGCCCCCAGGTCATGAAAGTGGGAGAACAGACCATGTCCCTCACTGACTGCAACACTCAGGAGAGCAGGGCCTACACCTCACCTAGACAGCAGGGTAAAGATGGGCCTGGTTGCCAGGGACTGTGGGTGATCCAATCATGAGGGTGTGAGAGCCAGCCCTGAGGTCATGAGGGTCAGAGTCGGAGAGCTGGTGGGCTGACAGGGCTCTGAATTGGCCTACCCCAATATCAACCTAAACAATGAACTCCTAGAGTGCATGAAGGGGACTACATAGAACCCTACAGGGATGCTATAGATCCAGAACTACAGGATCTCCATGACACAGGGCAACAGGATAGAACAGAGGAGTCTCAGTAAGGATCCAGTATTGATAGAGTAGCAGAAGCCAGAGGCCTTATACACAATCAAGGAGTCACTGTAATGAACATTTGCAAGCAAAGAACTGTGGGTAAAAGGGTATACTGTGGGACACATTGTGATGCACTACAGCTTCCACAATAAGATTTTTTTTTTCACTGTTGGGGAGGTTGCAAGGGTGGAGGAAAGGTACAAGAGGAGTAGAACTGGGGTGCATGATGTAAAATTCACAAAGAACCAATAAAAGGTATTTAAAATGCTATTTAAAAAAAATAGAACATTAGCATATTAAACAGCAAAGACCACAACTATCACCTAACACAACTTCATTTTCAGTCAGGAAAATAAAATAAGGTCTTGATTACTGAATGACTTACTAAATGAATTAGCAGCAGGTTAGACTACAGATCCAAATTTATCATCTTATTACTATGGACAGCAAACCTTTCAAATATTACACATCAAAAGGAAAGTAATATAAATAAAACTAAAGATTTATTTAAATGTTATCCAAAAAAAATGCTCTAAATACATGATACTGTAAGTGTTGTGCAGTAAAGAGACTGCAGTAAAATAAGTCACCATACTCCCTCTTACATCATGAAGGTCTTGGGATGTGGGATACCCCATTCAATACGCTTAGTCATACAGCTGATTTGAATTCTGACCCAATAGTCCCATCTCCCTTAGGGCAGTAAGCACCTCATAAATAGTCAGATCTCATGAGAACTACATTTTGAATAGCACTGCACCAAGTGTGCATTGTGTATAGAAACTATTAAAGATAATCTATATCTCTCACATATACAGTTTTCACTTGAGAGAGGACAAAAAAAAAGTAGTATCCTTCCTTTATTGTCTTCAAGTGAATGGAAACTATATATGGATAGATGGATGGATGGATGGACATACACTCACACTTGTATTCAAATATGCATAGTAGATCTACAAAGAGAGAAACATAGGCTTAGAGAGGTGTAATATTTGGCTCAAGGGCATAAGGTAAAGTAAAGGCAGAGCCAGGATTGAATTCAGATTAGTCAAATCATGAAGGCCAGATTATTTATAGAAAACCAAGACACAAAAATAATTTGACTCAAAACAGTATTTACACAGTGATTTATAATTCTAAATACAGAGAGTCAGGTACATCAATCAGTCTCTGGTTTTAAAGGAGTTAATAGCATCAAATGCAATATTACGCTAGAAAAGGCACCTGTTTAATTACAGAGAACCCAACACAAAACTGTCTCCTCTAGAAAAAAATCTACAGCAGAAAGAAAAGCGTAAATTCAGGCCTGAAAGACAGATTGGGAATTGCTGAGAGACAAAACACTTACAAAAAGAGGGGACACATATTCTTTAGCTGAAAAACCTGAGTCCAGAAATAAGTCAGATTTTGGAGGAATTTTCTTTGAACAGTTTTTAGTTTGCTTATTTCTTGTTACTTTGTTATATTTATAAAGCCTTCGGAGTTGAACATGCCTAATCTAAAAACTACGTATATTCTCAAAAATTTTAAATAGTGACACATTTATTTCAAATTTGAGATTAAAGATGTTCAACCTGTATTTGAATGCATGGCATGAATGCAAATTTTTTCTCTTTAATAGAATGCTTTTACTCCACTAAGTCTAGTCAGCAAAGTCCAATTAATCCTCCCAAGTCAACTGCAGGAAACTCCTCCATCTTCAAATCTGCCCTTACTCTTCCAAATAGCTAATAAACTCCATCTGATGTTGCAGCATCTATTAAATACATTCAGTCAAGATCATGTGTACCGCAATAGGCACGAGGCACACATGTGGTGCAGATAACTGCAGATAAAAAATATGTGCACACAAAATAACTAATATACACATATATATTATACATACAGAGTATATGCATATAATATATAGTGTATATGCGTGTATACTGCATATTATATATGTATATTACATATATTTTTAACTTTAAGACAGTAAACATAATGAATGCTGCCCTCTATATAAAACCTAACAAAGGAGGACTACTTGTTTTCTTTTAACCTTAGTTTCTCCTTATCTATAAAAATATAAAACACTAGCCAATTTCAAGGCTATCTTGAAATCTAACACCACTAGAGCATTTAGTGCAATGACTATCAATAAGAGCCTAACAGAGATGATGCAGCAGTAGCAGTAGTAGGGCTATCGCAGAAGAAAAGGGTCTCTCTGTTTCAGGCCTATTCCAGCAGATAGTTAAAAAGACAGACTAACGCTGAAGTTAAAAAAAAAAAACTGTACTCAAGGCGATACCAACGAGTAATGCCTTTGGGTGGACAAATAAATGCACACAAAAACAAAGACGTGAGGAAGAGGACAAAGCAGAAGAATGGAAAAGGATGGAGGATTCAGACTAAGATATTTTTAATTGACGGTAAAGCTTCAATAACAAAGATCTTACATTCCTATCATCATCTGTTCTTCTGGCTAAGGCCTTCTGTATGAGCAGGACCATATCATCTCAAAGTTCTTATGAAGTCTTGACTCTCAGAACCTAAGACACCACTGAATATGAAGACAAAATTTTAAAAAGATCATTAAGATCCAATGATGAAGAAGATGAGTAGATCCTAGTTTAATATGGTATTGTCCAGATAAGCAGAGATTAAGACACAGACACATAAAAGAAAGATCATGCAAAGACAAACAGAACACCTTCAGGCCAAGAAGCTTTCAGAAGAGCCCAACCCTGCAAATATCTTAATCTTGGGGCCCTAGCCAACAGAACAAGAAAAAGTTATTATCTGTCATTTAAGCCACAACATCTGTGGTATGTTATGGCAGCAACAGCAAAATAATACACCAGCTAAATACAAGATACTTAGGTTAACACAACCACAACTGTAACACTAGAAACTTGG